ATACCAGCTTCGATGCTCTCCTGACTCTCGGGATATGCGATGATAAGTATCTCATGCATCCTCATCAGGGTTTGCAGAAGTGTACGTGGTCCGTACTCGCCTGGAACAAGCGAACCAGGGGGTGCAAATGGGATCTCTGGTTCACCTGCAATGGAAGCTTGAACGAACGCTTGAGACTCCATATCTATAAGTTCTTCATTAGTTTGGGGATAGGTAGGCCTGTTTCCAGGCGGGAGTTCAGGTGGAGGTTGGAGGTTGCGTTCAACCTCGGAAGGCGAGGCCTCCACAGCGATGTCCTCGTCGCTGCTTTCGTAGGCCATGATGTCGCCTGGGTTCCCGAACATCCAGTCGAAGAAAGAGAGAGGCTGGTTTCCCAGCGTACCGTGGTCCACGGGAGTGAGCTCGTTGTTGCCAATCACGAACCGGCGGACGTACTCGAGGTAGTACGCGTACAATCCATGACCATACGCCTCGAGCTCGTCGACGTTGTCCATGCAACTGACCCGAGTGTAAAATATCTGTTCCATGGCCTCAAAATCTTGGAGGCTCAGATATTCAATGAACGGTTCACTTGAGCCAAAATGGACTTCGGTCGACCTGCCCTTTCCATTTCCCTGCGCTGGACAATCTCGCACAAGATGGTCGGTACTGTCGCATTCAGGGCACTTGAGAACCTGGCCGTCTCTACCTCGCGGGTTTCCCCGCCTACCCCTGCCTTTTCCTGAGGTCTCTCTACGGCCCTTGCCACGGCCCTTTCCCCCGAAGAATATCTCATCATGTTGTTCATCTGAGAGCCCCTGGAGGAATGCCGCGATGCCTCGTCCGTTCAACCTCCGACGACCTCGTTTACCTTTACCTTTTTCCCTTGAAGCTCCTCCGTATCCTCCTCCTAACACGACGCACTGGTTTTCGCGTGAACCTCCTCCACCTCCGTTTAGCCTGTTGTAATAACCAAAACAAATGTTCAGCACGCTGATTGTCATTATCCATATTCATAATGTCTGACCAATCAACAAAAAAAAACAAAAGAAAAAAAATAAAAAAAAAAAAAAAAAAAAAAAAACACAAAAAAACAAGAAAAAATCTAAAAAAAAAAAAAAACAAAAAAAAAGAAAAAAAAAAAAGAAAAAAAAAAAAAAAAAAAAAAAAAAAAAAAAAAAAAAAAAAAAAAAAAAAAAAAAAAAAAAAAAAAAACAAAAATAAAAAAAAAAAAAAAAAAAAAAAAAAAGAACAAAAAAAAAAATAAAAAACAAAAAAAAAAAAAAACAAAAACAAAAGAAAAGAAAAAAAAAAAAAAAAAAAAAAAAAAAAACAAAAAAAAAAAAAAAAAAAAAAAAAAAAAAAAAAAAAAAAAAGAAAAAAAAAAAAAAAAAACAAAAAAAAGAAAAAACAAAAAAAAAAAAAAAAAAAAAAAAAAAAAAAAAAAATCAAAAAAAAACAAACCAAAAAAAAAAAAAAACACCAAAAAAAAAAAGCTTCAACACCGTCTGATGATATAGTATCTGCGTCGGTGCCGGAGTCGAAATCCTCGTTTCCCAAGTAGGTGGATACACCGTCGGCTAGGGGGTTTGATTCACCCCATAAGGAACGGTGTGGTTGTGGTTCTCTAGAAGGAGGGCTGGTTGCCCAGCTTGGTTGTGATCGATCTCCTGCTAGTAGAGCAGTGGATTCTCCCGGATCATCGGCCCATATGCTTGAGGGCCCGTTCCCAGGCTGGGCTTCAGTGGTCAAGGTAGTGTAGAAATTTCCACTGCCGGATCCCCTTCCCCTTCCAAACACAGATCCTATATTGCCAGGAGACCGTTCAGATAGGTGACCTATCGAACGCATCCTCTCCAGCAACTCATCATACTGTTGTTGTGGTCGGGGCATTTGGTGATTGAGTGGCTGTAAGAGTTGCATGGCTCGCTGGTTGCCGACGCCTAAGGCGCAGAACAGGATCGTGGTTAGTAGTTGGAAGTTGGGAAGGCCAAATCCCACCGACTGTGCCTCAAGTCGGGCCATTTCGAATCGGGTAAGGGTGACATCGATTCGTTCCCCGTGAGGCACGTGGAAGTCGATGAGTTGTGTGCCGGAAGTGAGCTGGCGCTCATCCTCCAGGCGTTCGAACTTCATGCTTAGGAGGAACATGATGTAGGTCACTGGGTCGGTGTGGACCCCATCGATGTCAGCGCCATAATTTATAATGTCAGGCGGTGCCCTCATGGCGAGTGTCCTCGCTAGGCCACGCAGGCCGCGTTGTATGGCGGCCGCTTGGGCCTGTGGCGTCATGCGTCCGCTTGTGACGTTGAGCCATGCGTTGACCTCATAAACGTACTCGCGGAAAGGTACGTTGCCTTGAGGGTCCCAATATGGGCCATGTGTTTGCCCATCGGTGCTGTTGTCTCCACGACGCATGTGTCCGATTGCTGCCCCCAGCGCGAACCATATGATAGCGAAGATAACCAGCCCAAGGCTATGTAGATAGGGGTGGTTATGAGGCGCGTTGCCGCGCTGGGGTAGCGCCTTGTCGAGTCTTCGAGGCGCTCTATCTGGCGGATCTCTCCGCCCATGCTTCAGGTATTGCGCTTTTGGCTCGTTGCCGAGCGGTTGGTAGTAGCGCAATGATGAAACGCATATGGTACCAATGTCGTTGTCTAGACGTCGTACCTCTCGTGTCGCTTCTTGCTCTTGGATAGATCCTCGTAAACGTACTGGGAGTGATAGCGCAGGGTGGTAGGTGGTCACGAAGATCGTGCCGAAGAGTATGAGGCTAAGAAGAGCAAAAGCTGACCACACGAGAGTGCGGCCAGCTCCGCTACCAAGTCGAAAGTGAGCCTGGTAACTCAAATAGCATCCGATTCCATGGGAAGCGGATGGCAAATAGCGTCCGGTATCGTACTGACGTGGTTCAGTAAGAGGAATGGACGGATAAGATAGGATAAGATCGATGTAATGATCTTTCCAGCACATAGCGAACACAAGCAGTGTCTGGGCAAATAGGGCGCGCGTGCCTTGAGCCCAAGGCAACGGCGCGCAAGCTATGCTCCCGATACTATAACATCTCCCAAAGAGCTACCCTTAAAGTCACAGAGCACCGGGAGAACGGAGGCCTGGCAATGTGGCTGCATGCGCTTGACCCAGAGAGAATATGGAAAATGTGATGCCGCAGAGTTGTCTGGAAACCTGCGTCCAACATTCGTGAGAATCTCTCAGCCCCAGCTGCAAACCGAACCCGCTCTATCATCATCATCATCATCATCATCATCATCATCATCATCATCATCATCATCATCATCATCATCATCATCATCATCATCATCAGCATCAGCATCAGCATCAGCATCATCATCATCATCAACATCATCATCATCGTCATGATCATCGTCATGATCATCGTCATCATCATTATCAGCATCGTCATCGTAATCCTCACCGTGGTCAGCATCTTCATTTCTCTGATCCTCATCATCATCATCGTCGTCACCATCATCAACAGCATCATCATCGTTATCATCAACATCATCATCGGCATCATCACCATCATCAGCATCATCAGCATCGTCAATATCGGCATCATCGTAGTTACAAGCATCCTCGTCACCATCCTCATTATCATACTCACCATCAACAACAACAACATCATCATCATCATCATCATCATCATCATCATCATCATCACCATCAACATCGCCCTCGTGTTCATGACCGGCAACAACATCGCCGTCATAATCGGCACCACCACCACCATGATCATCACCGTCATCGTCGTCATCATCTGACCTCGAGCCCCCTCAATTGCCAAACTTCGTCTGTTCTGCATTAGCGACGGGTGCGTAGGCGTGAGTCTGCGAGAGCCTCGAGCACGCCCGTAGCGAGCATCCATCATCCCCACTCCCTCGTTCAACCCCGCTTCCTGCCCACCCTTCCATCCCCCCACCTTCCCCGGCACCTGACCCGTTTTAGGTCAGGTGCCCACCCTGGACCAGGCATGTGGAAAGGTCGTCACTGCAACGCTGGTTGCCAGGACACTGCCGAAAAACCGGCAGCCCACGCTGTGCCGTTACATCCCTGACTCCTCTGTGGTCGGGGCGAGAGAGAGCGCGGCGGCAAGGGCGGCCCAGCAGCGAAGGGGAAGGAGAGAAAGGAAGGACGGACGGGGGGTCGGGGGCGTTTATGGTGGTCGTGCTGGCGGTCGCGGTGTTGGTCGTGGTGATTCGTGGTCGTAATGATGGTCGTGCCGGCGGTGGTCCGGCTGGTGGGAGTGCTGGAGGTGGTCGTGGTGCTTGTGGCGGTGGTCACCCGCACCTCCGTTCATTGTAGGGGTCGTCGTGGTAGTCGTCGCTGGAATCGTGGCGGTGGCCCCTGGCTTGTGCTGTAGTCTCCATCGCGAGGGTGGTGGTAGTGCTAGCCGTGCGGTGTCACGGTGCGCCGTGGTGGTCTTGATAATGGTAATTGTCGCTATGCTGGTAAACGCGGCTTGTCGGCGCTCATCTGCCCAAGATGCTAAAGATCGCTTCCCTTCCTGGAAGGTGCGGAAAAACTCGCGCCAAATCTGGCTGACAAACTCGGACCGCTTGGCGTCGACTAGGCAGGCGCCGTAGCTTCGCACGAGGCTCACTGCCTCGTCGGACGGCCACCCCCTGGTCTCGAAGACCGTCGGGACAAGGTCAAGGCCCTCTCGGGGGGGGCTGTAGTCGCGGTTGTCATCGACCATTCGGGCAGCCGCGAGACCGTCTTTTTGGGGCAGGCGAGCCTGCGTGAGTCGTAGGTAGAATGTACGCAGGCCACCATCCAGTCCACAAAAATAAACTAGCCAGTGCTAGGGTCCTGTGTTTGGATGTCCCCCTTTGCTTCCTGCAGCACACAATTCCAGGAGTTAAGGCACCCCCAACCTAACACCCGCATTCCCTCCCTCCGTCCATCCCTCCCTCTTCCAATCTTTTCCCTCTTTCCTTCTTCCCCCACGGCCTCCTCCGTCATCCATCCCTGCTTCACTTCTGACCCCAAGGGGGGGGGGCCTGCTCCAACGTAACGGTGCCCCTGGGTAATGCGTAAAAGTACTCGAAGTTCTCCAAGGCGCGCGTCTGCCCGCGTTCCCCTGTCCATCCAACTCCATCCTCCTCCTCCTCCTCCTCCTCCTCCTCCTCCTCCTCCTCCTCCTCCTCCTCCGCCTCTTCCGCCTCCTCCTCCTCCTCCTCCTCCTCCTCCCCCTCCTCCTCGTCCTTCGAAGGTGTACAAATGGATCCGATGCCTGGGGCCCTACACAATGGGCACAAGACCAAGGCCCTAGGCCCCAGGTCCAAAATCCCAGGATATGGCCCTAGACTCTAGGCCAGATATCAGATATCCTAAGCACTGGGAGTTTAACGACGAAAGACATCAGTCAATTGCTGGGCCAGCCCGAACGACATCGAGCAGAAGCATCCTGAAGTTTACGTGGCGCGCCCCGAAGCCTTTTGGAGCGCTCTTTGCAAGCTCCCAGAACATGTTTGGAGCGACATGGAGCGGCCTTGGAGCGTCCAGGTGTGCCCTGGAATGCCTTGTGAGCCCCCAGACCGCCATGGAGGGATCTGGAACGAGCAGGTGCAAGCAAACCGGTTTTCCAGACCACCCAAACTGCTTCGAGGCCTCCAGGCTGAATCCTAGGAGCCCAGACCTACCGACCGTATAGAGCCTGGACCAGACCCTCGACTGTAGGCGGCTCACATGGGTCCACAACAGGCTGGGTCAAAGGATCGCACCAGATCGCCGCTGCATCGGCGATGCATCGCCTACGTCGAGATGGACAAAATCGGACCCCAACTCGAGCCCTCCGACCCAATGTGGGTGGCCTGGAACCTGAGAGCCTCAGCCCAAGATCCACCGACCCCCGCCTGTCGGGGGGGAAAAGGCGTGTGAAAAGTTTGGCTATCCCCCTCCTCCGTTCCCGCCCCCGCCCCCGGAGTCCAACGTCGCGGTGGGGGGAGAGGTGGGGGAGGGGGGGCGAGCTCCCCAATGACCCCCGCGGCTTGCGGAGCCTCCAAATCTAGAGCCCGCGGCCTACCAGATACCAAAGATTCCATCTAAGCTTGCGCAGCCTGGGCTCCAACACGCCAGGGACACCTCGAAACCACCATTAGTAGCATCAAATTCGACCAACGAGACGCCCCGACCGAGCTCCAAGACAACTGCCGAGAGGGCCTCAAGAGGCAATAACCGCAACATCCCCTGGTGAACAGGTTCGGTTCCTACATGCACGTGGTCTCCGTCTTGTTTTTGTTTGGTCCTCCAGCCACCAGCCACTCCCGCTCTTCGACTTGCCGGGCCTTGGCCGCACTGTGGCTGCTGGCTCCTCTCCCTGGGCGCACTGCGACGCCGACCCGCAGCCGCTACCAGGGCTGTCCCCTCAGCTAGGCCGTGCCCACTCACCCGCCGCAGCCTCGCTGCGTGAGTGCGCCCCCGCACATTCCACCCCCCTCTGCGGCCGCCCCCCTCTGCGGCCGCGACTCCATGCCCCGGTGTCGCTCGGACGCGCGTGCGGACTGCCTCCGCCGCGCTGCGACGTAAAAATTGTTGTCCGTCTTGACAGCGTCCAAGACGGCACAAGGGGCCCCAAATATCGCCCCAAGACGGCCGACAAAGCACCTAAGAGGCCCCCAAAAGGGCCCCAAGACGACCCAAAAGGACCACAAGACGGCCCCAGGGGCTCCCAAAACGGCCCGAAAGAGCGCCAGGAGGGCCCCAAGAGGGGCCCAAGAAGGGAATACGGATTGACGTTTCGAGCCTCCCTCCTAAAGATTACCCCAATCGACCCCCAGAGGTCCCCGAGGCGCCCCCGAAAGGCCCAAAGAGGCCTCCACGAGGCTCCCAAGAAGCTCCCAAGAAGCCCCCCAAAAAACCCGAACAGCCCCCCAGCTGCCCCCAAGTGCCATCCAAGAGGCCCTACCTGGGGGGTCGGCGGAATGGCGTAAGCCACTTGAACAGAAGGACGCCAACTGTACATCTACACCGACTCTGGCCAGACCAATCCTGGACCCAGGATCGGTGTATACAACCCCCATGGCTCGGCCATCGAAGCAAATGCGACGGTCCTAGAACAAAAACAAGTCAGCTCAAACATAATAAAATGCGGAGGTCCGAAAACGTATGTTGATGCAGTTGTTTCTTTTCGCGTTCCCCGGTCAGGGCACACATGGCATCACATGGAACCAACTAGTGAACTTTGCCTCCTAGCCTGGAGAGCCAGACCGGCTGTGATCGACAGAACGTGGTCGAAGCTACGACGAGCAACCGCGTCTCGAACAAAACAAGGCTGTGTTGCCAAGCCGCACGACATGACACGTACATAATGCAGTGCCCACGAGGGCCACATTTGCACGAGACGGGCCCTGAACACATGAACGCACGAAGGTCAGGCAAAGCCGGGTAGGCAGAAGTGGAGGAGACAATCCCCCACAGCAGCGTACAAACAAGAGAATACTTCAAACCGTCATCGCATCCAACACATCCAAGTATGCATGGTGGTTGTGCAAATTCGTGGAACCAGCGGGAAGCGGCCCAACTATCGGGCAAGGTTTTGACCGGGCAACTACGTGCAAAAGGTGGCAATCGGGTCAACATGTCTCGCACCCGATTCCAGAATTCCGATTACACGGGGCTCGGGAACCTGTGGCGGAATGATCACCGCCAGGCATCGCCTAAAGAGCTCTAGCAGTTTTTTCAGGTAACCTCCACTGAAGCATGGGCTCGTAGAGGGTCTTCTGAAGGCGAAGCCATTGTGAAGCCGAGACGATCGAACTCAATACCTAATTCCAGAGCGGCGCCACGAAGATTGTCGAGGCCCTCCAGTGCACCGAAACTGAAGGCGCGGTCCTCTGGAGAACCGTGGACGGCCACGGCAAGGTGGAAGGCGAACGGCATGGAATCCCTAAAGGCTGGCGCACCGCGTCTGGCCAAAACGTCCCGAACAGGAAGGTACTGCCACGAAGCCTCCGTCAATACGTCCTCGCAGGCTCGCCAGGTCTCTACACCCTGCGAAATGCTTAAGAAATCATGGGTTAAGAAATTCATAGTCTCAGAATTTGAATAAAAACCCTGAATTTCTATTGAAAGCTTAGGATTCACATTGAACCATTAAGAACAATCGAGACTCTGGCCGAAAACGCAAGTTTTCTTAAGCGTCGCCTAGGGTGTACTTCGAAATCGTTGGCCCAAGGATGGACCTAGCCAGGATCGTCGTGCACGTGCGGAGCACTGGTCGCGCGACTAGACCACTGCGGAGGCGGGCGGAGTGGCCGCGCAAGGCCCTCAGACTGGAACCTGGCACCCCACACGAAGGAGAACTAACAGAGCGCAAAGCAACACGCAGCGAAGACACATAAACTGTCGCGGGCCCGTGCGGATTTCTCGGATCCTCGCCGGACCCCCCTGGCGGCGCCTCCGGCACCACATCTGGCGGTGGAAGCGCGCTAGGAACTTTCGGGGGCCTGCGTGGATCCAAGAAGTTCGAAAATTAATGTTCATGGCTTTTCCTGTTCCTTGGCGTGTAGCCAAAGCACAATGTGTGAAAGGTCTTCGACTAACCGGGAAGTGCGTGCCTCAACAAGGCGGAGGCACGCGGCGAGGCCCCAATCCGCGACGTTGGGAGGTTTCCGACTGAACCAAACAAAATGGGCCCAACTCCGCGCTATACGATGGGGGGAGGTCCATCCTAGATAGAGGTGCGTCCGAACAGCACGACGTTATATCCCCAAACTCCCCGTGTTTTTCTGAGCGGCCAATTTTGTTTGAGGGGTGAGAGTCGAGGATTGTGGGGCGAGAAGTCGACCGCGAATGTGGACGCCTCGCTTTTACTTCCGCAGCCTTGCGCTTTACGTCCGCCAGCATCCGCAGGCATTCCAGCAGCTTCCGCCGAAGGCGAGATGCGCCGAAGGCGAGGCCCTACCTGGAACGCCTCGACGAAGCGTGGACGAAAGTCCCCCGACCCCGGACCCCTAGACCGTGGGACTCCCAGATGGGGCCAGCATAGACGGGGTCTGAGGATGCCGATGAATCGCGACGCCAGGACAAAGACAATCGGCCCCCAAATCCCGCCGCATCGGCGATGCGGCGCGATACTCCGACCCCATTCCCTCTTCGGGCGCGGCCGCACCGACCCCTTCCGTGACGAGCCCCTTCCGCGAGAAGCCCCTCATCCTCGAGGCCCCCGGCCGCCTGCCCACGTCTTGGAGAGAGGCGAGGGGGCCGTCGCGGAAGGGCTCCAAGGCTTGCCAGGGGCCGCGTCCCTGAGATCCGACGTCGCCAAAGACTTGTTTCACAACAGCACGATGGCCGGCTCGGCCGCACACTCTTCGAACCTGTGCAAAAAGGGAATGAGGAACGTCCAGCAACGAAGACGGGCTGTCGTGCAAAAAACTGCTTGTGAAATGGTCTACTTGCGGCGGCTTGCTCAATCGAGGTTTCCCCGCGTCGCCGCCCGTTGCCGCCTCGTTGTGGCCCACTTGGGGGGCCAGTCGAGGTTTCGCCGAGTCGCTGGGCTGAGGGTCTGTCCCTTGACCTCTCCGCATCGTGCAACAAAATCACGACGCGCAGATGTTTCTGCCGTTTTCCTCCTCGAGGGGGTCCTTGAAGGGCCCCAACGATCTCATAAACAAGCTCGTAATGAAAAACAAGTCCCGGTGAAGTGGTCCAGACATCTGGGCGTCCACCTTTTTGAAAATCACAACGGCGGAGGTATGGTCCCAGGCCTCCCAATTCCTTCAGATCAGAGCGGGGCAACTCGTTCACAACAACCGTTTTCGCCCAGCTTCGGGTCCTGGGGCCCTCAAAAGTCGATCCTGTTCGAGAAATGCCGCAGAAAGATGAAAGGTCTGGGGCTCCAGTCGTGATTTTCACGGTGTTGCATCTTTGGGGCCGCAGAAAGATTAGGGAGATGTAGGGTTCCAGTCGCTATTTTCAGCATGTTGTATTTACTGGGGGACGTCCCAGGAACGGGCAGGGATCTTGTGGTGAACGCTGCAGGGCAGCCCCTGTCCATGACAAGCCTCCCTGGATGCACATTGTTTCACTTTCTCGCGGCGGGTCGGCTGAGGCCGCACCCGCAGCCCCAGCAGGACCCGCCAGGAGGCCTCGAGTGCGCTGAAGAGGGGGGCAAGGAGAAGGGAACTAGAGCATCATGGCCCGCGGCATGTGCGCGGAGGGTGGGACCAGCGGACGTCTTGATTGAAGAGAAGGGGGCCAAACCATCTGGAAGCCATCATGGCTCCACCCATGATATCCACGCACCCCGAATCCACACACCCTGCTCCACGCCTCATGGCTCCCGGGACAAATCTCAAGCCTTTGGGGGCCCCCAGACTGCTTCCGACGAGGCGCAGCTGCTGGGAAACATCCCGAGGCGAGCAGGCCCCCGAGAAACGGCGACACCCCCCTCTTGGAGGCCCCCGAAATGTTCTGGTGAGCTCAGAGCCTTCACCGCCCCTCTCGGACGCCCCCCGAAGGCCGCGCGCCGCGGGCTGGCGGCTGGGCCGGCCTCTTCGCTGGGAGCCCCGCAGGCGTCGGCGGCGGCCAGGTCGACTGGCTCGCTCGGCAGCCCCGCCACGGGCCCAACGCGGGCGCCGGCGTCCTGGCGCAGCAAGCGGCGCCCATGCTAGTGCCGGGATCTCGGACGAAGTGATGTTTCAACTGTTGCGTCCCTGGTTAGGCGGTATCTTATGAAAAGGTCCTCGCAAGAACGAGTAAGGGCTAGTAAGCCCGATGAAGGGGCCAATAAACACATTATTTCTATGGGGTCACGAAAAGCTGTGCTGGTTGGGGCAACGCATGTGGACACCGCCACAGGGGCCTCAGGGGGAAATTCCCTATGGGGCCACGGAGCGCTGTGCCGGTGGGGGGGGACGCATGCGGACACCGCCACTGGGGCCTTCGGTGGAATTCCCTATGGGGCCACGGAGCGCTGTGCTAGGTGGGGGGGGCGCATGTGGACACCGCCATTGGGACCTTCGGTGGAGGTCTCTATGGGGCCACGAAGCGCTGTGCTTTGTGGTGGGGGGCGCATGTGGGCACCGCCACTGGGGCCTCAGGTGAAGCTCCCTATGGGGCCACGAAACGCTGTGCTGGGTGGGGGAGACAGAAACATGAATGGGAGGACGAGGGGGAGAAGGAGGAGTGAGGAGGACGAGACGCGGGGCGCTCTCTTCAAAACGAGGACCCAACACCACAAGATGGGTGGGGAAAGCGCTTAAAACAAATCCACAACGACGGGCCGAACAACGCTGTAAATTATTAGAAGTATATCGATAAAAAACGCCGAGTGAGTTAGCACGTGCTGTAGTTTGTCAAGAATCAGAGTGTAAAACAACTTTCTATCATACATATGACAAAATGTGTGAGTGAATCATTGTGGTATCATGCGCGGCCCCTCTTTTTCTCATCCTCCAACTCCTCCATCACAACCCGCATCCCTCCTCGCATCCTTTTCCTTATCCTGGTCTTCTTCCAATCCCTCATCATCATGTTGCTGCTCATCCCCATCTCCTCCTGTCAACAGGCATGGGAGTAACAAAAATCACACAAATATGCGACACATGTGTGTTGAGCGCCCTGGGACACCACGTACTCTTGCAGTCCCGGGCGCGCCAGTGCCCCCAAAGCCCAAGCGGCTTCGGAGACCCTGTCTGTCACAAAGCGGAAAGGAGAGGGGAGGTTAACCACAACAGCGGGTCCACTTTCAGTGGGACAGACAGGGGACAACAGACGCCATCACCAGCCCCCCCGAGAACTCTCGACTCCACCAAATCCACGCATGCTCTCCTGGTGAAGGGCCTCCCCAGCCCGCGCCAACTCTCTCTTGGAAGCCTGACGCGAGCGACGCTTCAGAGAAATATTCAGAGCCCGCTCTGACGTTAAGCCGTCCTCGTCCGCTAAACACAACGTGCCTCGGCACAACAGATCAACTAATGCGAGGTTGCCCCGCCCTGCCTGGGTCGGCCTTGGCCAAGGCGTCGGCCGCCATTTCTCCATGCACCCAGCGGACTTGAAAACCAATGGCGCCCGCGGCATCTCTCATTACTGCTAACTCTATGACTGTATGCCGGTCCTGTCTTGAACCGGCACTGTTTCTTGCTTCTACTTGACGCATCGGATGCACACTGAGCGTCAACCGCGGACAACGAAGAAACTGTTTTGGCCAACGAACAGTGATAATTCAACGCAACGGAAAACGGGGCGTGCCCCAAGTGCCAAGTGGGGTGAGGTATGTCGTAAAATATGAGGGCCCTCGACATTACTTGTAACCGCTGAGCCTCTGCGAGTGCTGAGGACAGGCCCAAGGTCTCGGCCGCGCTCGTGGAAAGCACGACGCGCTTGAGTCGGATCGACCGCCGCGCGAGGAGCGAGGCCGTCGCTCCCCTGTTGTTCCGAATGTCTGCGTCCGCCGCGACAACGAAAAAAACGCCCTGGGCGCCGCTTCTTCGAGCTGAGCCCGGTCCGCCGGCGTCCGAGATAGTCGCGAATGTGAGACCGCGAGAGGGTCCAGGGGCCAAATCGCAATCCTCTGGGACGCCGATGACTCAACATGACGAACAATCTTCAAGCACCGGAAAACATCCTCAAGAGCGGGAGTGGGAAAAGCGGCTGACTGGAGGGGCGCGCCTCCAGCGACGTCTGGCCCAGTCTCTCGGCCGAGCCACTGGATCCGCGCAACCATGGCGCGATATCCTCGCACCTCCTCTGGAGCAAGGAGGGAGGGAGGGGGGGGGCCCGCCTGTGTTTCGCCAAATGCATGAGAGACACCTGTTCGAGTACGTATGCTTCTTGGTAAACACGAATCTTGTCGCCAGGCAACTTCATCAAATGACGCCCAGCGAAATCCGTGCAGACATGAAATATGCCCTCCAGTTTTTCTCGACGCGAATCCCGCTCTGGAGGGTAAAGCAATAATCGGGTCATCGACCTCAATCAGGATGATCGTAAGAGGGGCGCCATCAGAGCTCCTCTGAACCCAGAGGCAGGGCCCCAACGACGACTTCTCAAAGCCTAGACCAGAGAGAAAGTCAGTGAGCTTTATGCGCCACAGAAGAGGCGCGTAGTTGATTCCGTAGACCAGCGCCATTAACTCGATCAGCTCTCCTGGAGCCAACTGCCATCCTTGGCAGCCCTCGCAAGGGATCGCGCTGGAGGGGCAGCGTAAACGGCTTGATTGGCAGCGCGCGTTCTTCGCGTCCGCCGCCCCCAGAGTCCGCCCGAGAGACGCAACCGGCAGCCGATTGCAGGGTCGGCCTGGGGGGTCGGGGCGCACGCCCGACGACCCCCCCCGCCAAGATCGCGATGCCCCTGGGCGCGCCACCTCGACTTGGCCGGAGTGGCCGCCCCCAAACCCTCCTGTGGCTTGAACCTCCTGACCATCCTGGAACCGAGAACCCAATCGGGGCATTCTCTCCTGACGAGCTGGGCCTCTGGGGCCGGAACGACCCGAGCGGCGCCCGACTGGGCGATGATTTGCCGCTCCTTGGCATCCGAAAGCACAAAGAACTCTCGCTCCTGAGGCGAGAGGGACTCGGGCGAGACATCAGCACCCCGGCAGGAGGGGGGGGGGGTCAGACGAGCCTGGAAGAGAGGCGATGCTAGAGGACCCCCAGAAGGTTGGATCGAGACGGAACCAGTCATAATTCTCCCCAGAACGTCGTGACAATCGTCCTCCAAGTCGGCATGCCACGTACCCTCGACTAAACTGACCTCCCGGGGCTCGGATCGACCGCCCCTGGTAAAAATCTCGAGCGGGGCCTCTCGGGGGCCTCGGAAGCCTCCGGGCCCCTTGCAGCAGGCTCACGCAGTCGCCCGATGCACGTGAGAACGTCGCCCAGCACTCTTGACCTCCTATGGGTTCCCCACGTTCTATCGGAGAAACCACCGCCCGAACAGCCCCCTGCCCTGGAAGCCTCTCCCCTCGCGAAGTGAAGCGAGGGCGCTGAGCGGGCGGGGGCTCCGCCTCGGGCGCCGCGGAGAGGACGGATGACAATCTGCCTCGAGAATCGAAGCGCCGAAGGGGGCCCGGCGCGGCAGGATCACCCGCCACCGATCTGACCGGGGAAAGAGTAGAAGGTTAAAGCGAGAGATGAAGTGAGCAAGAAGAAGGTTGGAGGGAGGGAGAAAAAGTGGCATCTCCCCCAGAGCTCCGGGGACGACAGCGGGCTCGTCCTCGCAAGGTGGCTGCGGTGGAGGCCCCTCCTCAGAAAAAGCCGGCGCAACTGCGGGCGGGCCCGGGGCCGCCGGCCCCTGGCCCCCCGAGCCTGGCAGATCCCAGGCCGCGGGAGGAGGTGGGCCTTCGGCCTCGACGGCCACGGCCCCAGTTCGCCCAGCAGGATTGCGCAAAGCCTCGCGAAGACCCGCCAGATGGGCGGGGTCGATCACCTCCAAAGTGGCGGCCCAGGAGCTCCGAATGCCCAACCTCACGCGACAGGTCAAAGAAAAACGATTTGATGCCCTCGCCCTCGCCCTCGATGCGGTCTGCCTTGCTGCGGAACGGTGTCTTGCAATCTTCTCGCCAGTGCTCATTTTTCCCCGGAATTCGAGCACCTGCAGGACCTCTGCTTGAGATCGGCGCGCCGCAACTTTCAGAACTTGCCCTTGCCTCTTCCACCCGACTTGCCTTCGCGACGACGATCGAAGAAGTGCCGATCGACCCGGCGGCTTTTCTTCAAATGCCTCGACTCCTGCCAAGTCATGCGTCGGATGTTGGTCGCGACCTCGGCAAATACTCGCACTGTATATACTATGCCAGGTCTTGGCCCAAGAGGTCGGTTTGTCTTCGTCGTAGTCGGCGCCGAAGAGCCCCGGACAGCCGCCCCCACCCTGCCCGTTGATCTCTTCTTCGTCGAGGACGGCGAACGTCTTGGAGGCAGAGGCCGACTGAAGCTTCGGGAGGGCGCCCTTGTCTGACACGTCCATCGCGTTTCTGACGGCGTCGAAATCTTTCTTTCCATTCATGAGAGTGCGAAGGTTAACTCGATTGTTCCAAACCAGTCCACATTCTTCTTCATTATAGCGCGCCTTGACACTGTCTGGAAGTACGAGGCCCGTTCTTTCACCCGCGGCCAGTTGGCTGTCGCGCCCAACTAAAAAAAACGTCAACGTTTCTCCTTTCCTGGCAGCGTAATCGAACATTGCCTCGTCGCGCGCTCCTCTCTCTTTGCCCCCGGGGCGCGGACCGCTCAACAGCTCTACGCGTGACAAGACCTGGTCGAGCCCGTCTGCGACATCCAAGGACTCTCTGATGGGCTGAAACTTTGCCTGAAGCTCCGCTGGATGAGATTCTAGAGCTTTGTCTGCTCTCACTTAAGGACGAAACGAGGTCCTGGCTGTCCAGGACTTAATGTTCGCGGCGCACAGCTTCAAATACTCCATGCCCAGCCGCGGCGGTGGGAAGGCGTGGTCATTGTTGACTGGGGGCCTGTCTTCCTTCTGGTCGCCGCGGCCTCTGCTGGGCCAAAGATTGGACGCGCCCCCATCTGGGCCCCTCCAACTTCGCGTGCCCCACCAGCTCCAGTCCCAGTCCCAGCCGGGAGCTGAGTCGCCCCGGCCGCCAGACGGATCTCGGGGCGAAGCGCCGGCTGCGGCATTCCCCGGAGATCGGTCTCCAGCTGCTTCTTCCCCGCGGGTGGCTGGTCTCGGCGGCGTCGCGACAGTCGCCCACGGGTCTATACCGCCAAACTGATCGACGGCTTGGACTCTGGGACCAACATGGGCTCCTGGCGGCCTTGCAGACTGCGGTGACTCCCCAGCGTCTCTCGAGCGTTGTCCCACATCATCGCCCTGCCCCCCATGTCTCCCTGCGGCCTCGCCCGTGCTCCGGCAGCCATGGTCAGCGGGCATGGGGGTAGCAGGTCACGCAGATAAGCGAAGGATGTGCGTCGAGCGCCCTGGAACACCACGTATCACTGCAGTCCCGGGCACGCCAGTGCCTGCGCAGCCCCAGCGGCCACGGGGGCCCCGTCTGTCGCAGCGCGGAGAGGGGAAGGAGAGGGGGAGTTAAACGCGACACTCCTCCTCGCCACCCTAGTCCTTATTATGCTCCTCACCGTTCCCCTTTTCCCTCTCCCCCTCCTTTCCCTCTCATCGCCCTCCTCCTTCTCATCGTCCCTGTGCTCTCTCCTTTTCCTTCTCCATTTCGTTGCTTTGCCCCTCCTCCTCCCCCGCCCCCCCCACCCCTTCCCCCCCCCCCTCCTCCTCCTCCTCCTCCCCCCTCAGTTTGCAGGGGGGCTGGGGGGCCGAGCCATGCGCTTCGCCCATGGCGAAGCCCATGTCCAACTCTGTTGCGCCGTAGCAACGATGGCCCCAGAAGTAGGAGATCGTCGCGGGGGCGACGGGCCGCGTCAAGCAAATATGTTCTCGGTCTCGATGACGAGAAGCGCGCCTCGCGATGAGGCGCAGTCATATATTGGCGGCCGGCCGCTTGAGCACAACCGGCCGCGGACAAACGCTCGCTATCTCTCGCATCTGCCCCGGCCTCCTTTCTGGCGTCGGGGGGGGGGGGGGGGGGCGCGGGGGCGACGCGCGAGCCCACCGCCCGCCACGCAATAAAACACTATACGCACAAGGTAGGCAGCAGCAGGCGGGCTCCACGATTCGGGGCCGCGCGCGCAGGGCCTCGACCCCGCCTGCTGCCGCCGTCGGCGGGTGCAGCGCGGTGCGAGGCTGGCCCCTTCCGGGCGGCGGCGACGGGCCCAGGCCCGACGCCCGCCGCTTGGGGCAGCCTCGCGCCACGCCTGCGCGCAGCAGACAGGGTGGAGGGCGGGAGAAGGAACGCGCGCCAGGGTGGCGCCCGCCGCGCGCGCGCTCGCGCGCGCGCGGCGCCTTCCCAATTCACAATACGCCTGCGAAGCGAGCGCCGCGGGGGGCCAGCGCAGCCTTTCCCCGCGGCGCAGTGCCTGAGACAATGGTACCTGCGAAACGCGTGCGTCGCGGGGGCGCAGCGACGACCCCCCCCGCGGCGGCCCCTCCCTGGCGCGCGACGGCGCGATGACCCGCGCCTGCGCAACGAGGCCACGGTCGCGTCGCGCTGACGCGCGCGCGACCTACGCGCAAACGTGGCCGACTTGTGCCCGCGTGCAACGGTGGGCCTCCGCGTCTACGAGCCTCGATGCACCGCTGTGCGCCTGCCACAAATCGGGCCGCGCGCGCAGGGCCTCGACCCCGCCTGCTGCCGCCGTCGGTGGGTGCAGCGCGGTGCGAGGCCGCCCGCCGCTTGGGGCAGCCTCGCGCCACGCCTGCGTGCAGGACCCAATGCCACACGGCGCGCAGGCGACACGGGCAGGCAACGCGCGCACACCCGCTGCCGATCGCGCGGGGGCAGAGCACGTTCGCCGGCGCGCGCACACACCCACACCCACGACCGAGCGTGGCGGTGCTGGCCGCCGGCGCCTAACCGGCGCCGTTGTCTGAATCTGACTCGAGCATGTGCGCCTGGCGCGTGCAGGGCGCCGTGGCGCGGGCGGCGGTCGCGTCGCTCCGCCTCCACGACCGCGTCCCTCTCCAAATCGTCGCGGTCGAGATACGCCATGAAGGCGCAGGACCGCCACTCTCCAGCCACGAGGATCTCGGCGAGCGTCGCGCCCGCCTCCTGCAGGTCCTTAGCGTGGCCCCTGCGGAGGTCGCGCAGCCGAAACAGGCCCGCTTCCTGGACACCAAGGGCTGCGAGTATCTCGCGCAGGGTACGCAACGAGGCGGCCGCCGAGATGCCTTCAAGAAGCCCGCAGCCCGGCGCGCGCCGCGCCAACCAGGGGCCCAGCGTATGCACGGGGTGGGTGGCGCGGCACGATGCGCACCAGCACCTCCGCGTCAAGCGACTGCCTTGTGCCTTGTTCTTCCGCCGGCGCAGCAGCAGCGTGAGCTCCGCTGCGCCCAGCACGAGCGCCGCTTGAAAGGACGGCGCGTCGCCGGCGTCGTCCACGCGCACGGCCGGCAACGCCTCGCTGGGGACCCTCACCAGAAACGTATAGGCGAAAAGGAAAAGCATCGAGACGCGGAGCCACTCGGGGCGGCGCGCGCCCAAGCCGACAAGCGAGGCGACTGCGCACTTTCGGATGAACAAGCGCGGACGCGGAATCCAATCACCCCGCGCCCGAACGGCGGCGCGCGCACGCCTGACCTCAGGGCTGTCGAATACGGCGACGCAGGCCCCTGCCAGGAGACACCCGACTCTGAGGTAGCCGCAATAGTTCGCGCATGTCGCGCCGCAGCGAAATAAAGCGCCCCAGAAGACTAAGTCCGCGCTGGCTGGCGGCAGCTGCATGCACGGGTATTGCAACACCCTGATGCAGTAAGCTGCCCAGCACTTGAGGCCGCTTCTCACGCTCGGGAGCGACCGCGCGCATGGCTGCAGCATGGCGCGAGCGCGTTCGACCTCTCGCCAACGGGCCGCGTCTGCAGGACCGCGGAGGCGCGCGGCGGCCTCGGCGAGCGCCGCCCTGGGCCCGCGCGCCACGGGCGGCGCGACCGGCGCGGCCAGGCGGTCGATGATTCGGGGGGTCGGCGCCTCGCGAGCCACGGTGCGCGGGAGACTTGCGAATGCGCGGGGCAAACGACGCGCGCCTGCGGCGGCGGAGAAAAACACGGAACAACGGGCGCCGCGCTTGCTGCTGGCGACCGGCTGCGGCCGGCCGCGCGCCCGCCAGCTGCCGCGCCTGCGCGGCCAATGCGACTGCGGGGCCCGCGCAGCAAGAGGGGTAAGCAGAGTCCCTGCGCGCAGCCCCACCTCGGCGCGCCGCCAACTTCGCAGCCCTGCATAATTCATGCAAGACCTCGACATTGACCAGCGCGGTGACTGCCCACCCTTCCAGGTCTGCGGTGTCCGCGCTGACGAATTCGCAAGCACGCGCAAAGCCGCTTCTGGCAAAGAAATCAGCCGCCCAGGCAACGGCCGTCCTGGGCGCCGGCGGGCGCAGAGAACATAATTCAGCGAAGAGTGACATCGAGTGCCGCGCGGCGCGTCAGAAGATGCGAGGGTCACGCCCGATGCGCTTGCCGGGCGCTCTTCGATTGCGAGATGACGCGAAGACTAGAGGTGACAGGAGCGGCGGCGCATCGAGTGCCTCACCGCGGCGCGGGAAGCGGAACCGCGACGCCCCTGTCACGCAAGATGGCCCCCAAGCGCTTCATGGCGCGCAAAGTTAACCGAAGAGATGCGCCAAGGACAGCGCGCTCCAGGCGTCCGCGCGCCAGAAAGCTTCGTCGAGCCACGGGCGCGTGCGCACGGCTCCGATGCGTAGTAGGAGCTTGCGGCCGGCCGGCAGCGCGGCGTGGGCGCTCGCGGGCTTGCCGCGAGGGCAGATCGGCGAGATTCTCATCCGTGGGCACACGAAACACGGCGAGATCGACGTCGAGCTCGACGGCGCGCTTCCACATGGAGTGGACGATGCAAGAGTGGTCAAAAGCCTTCGCCGCACCCTTACGGAGGCAGGCCTCCGCGCTAGTGTTGTCGCTGTAGACATGCAGATCGCAGCCCTGCAATTCCCCTGAGCGAACGGCGACAGGAGCCGGTTTGGCGCGCGGGGCGGTCAAACGCGCGCGAATGCAGCGCCTGCAAAGGTGCACATGCCCAGCGCGATGGACAGGAGCTCCAGCCCCTGAATTTGGGTGTCCCGGCGACGCTCGAACGCCGCCACCAAGGACGCCGGCACGCGCGTGGAAGTGAACTGGATGCCCGAGGCCGTGACGAGCACCGCGGCCACGCAAGGTGGCTGTCCCGACGCGTCCGCGAACAGGGTCGCGCGGGGCCGCGCCTTGTCGGCCCATGGCCGCGCCTGACACAGGTCCATGGCCAGGACCTCGCGCCACCACTCCAGGGCTAGCACCAGCGGCTCATGCATGTGCCTTCGATGCCCTTCGATGCGATTGCGCGTGCAAACACTGGGCGCGACGTTCGGTCATACTTGGATACGCGGGCGCGG